CTAAGCTCAGTGATTTAGGGTTTACGAGGGTATGAATTTCCGGTCTATTAAATACAGACTATCCATCTATCCGCCGAAAATCCAAAAGATTACGCTTACCACGAAATTTCCGGCTATTCCCCTATCTTGAGTTTAATCAATATTGGTCAAGGTTGATAAATGTACCAGGTTTTTTTTATTGCCTTTGTAGACAGACGAACATACGGCCCACCTAATGGTGAGTGGTTACCGTTGCCCATGGACCTCAGCAATGCCAGGGGCAGAGCCAAACCGCTGCCTACCAAGTATTGGAAATGTAATTATACATTTTATAACTTAGTATTTTTATTACAAAATTCATAGGAACACTAACTACTGCGCTACCGAGTTTTAATTAAAACAAAAGCTCTAACGACCTCGGGCTTCTGAAACTGCTTCTGCCGACCTCACCTTCCCACTCATCTAACGTATCCCTTACTATTTGCCAAATAAAGTATACTTTACTATCATCATGGTTCTGACCAACATTTTCAGTTCAATAACTTAAAAGCTAATGTCGGCGCCTCTCATGTTTTTTTTTTATTATTTTTATTGCCTAGATGTGTGGACGAGCTCACAGCCCACCTGCTGTTAAGTGGTTACTTGAACCCATAGACATCTACAACGTAAATGCGCCACACACCTTCAGATATAAGTTCTAAGGTCTCAGTATAGTTACAACGGCCGCCCCACCCTACAAACCGAAACGCATTACTGCTTCACGGCAGAAATAGGCGAGGCGGTGGTACCTATTCTTGCGGACTCACAAGAGGTCCTACGACTAGTAATTACGTAAATTATAATTTTGCGGGTTTGATTTTTATTACACGATGTTATTCCTTCACCCTGGAAGTCAATCGTGAACAATTGTTAAGTACGTATTTCATTAGAAAAATTGGTATCTGTCTTCGGGATTCGAACACCGTTGCATCGCTATATACGAATGCACCGGACGTCTTATCCTTTAGGCCATGACGACTTTAAAATGCGCTCTAATATGGCTATGGTAACCTATCTTGTTCTTAAACGTGCGCAAACAGAATCTACACGTAAGAACACCACCCACGAAGTTGTAAAAAATGCTGGAAGGCGGTGTCTATTTTTCAATTTATTTCGTCTGTAGTCCAGATCGCGCCTTTTTTATTGCCTTTGTAGGCAGACGAGCGTACGGCCCACCTGATGGTAAGTGGTTACCGTCGCCCATGGACTTCAGCAATGCCAGGAGCAGAGCCAAGCCGCTGCCTACTGCCTCCTGTCGTTTTCAAAGACATACTTTACTATATAACATCTCCGAAATCAGCCCACCTGATCAGTCTTTTTAATAAAACGAATGAGAAAATTTCTTGCCGCAAACGCTCAGTCGTCATAGTTTTCGCGTCCCTTTAACTTCGGCACATTTATTAAATAGCTACCTGACGACATTATAACTTACTTTCTGATACACGATATGAATTTAATATAAAAATTATTTCAAAAACTTTTGCACTGGGGCACTTTAACCTAATAAAACGCGGTAAAGATTGACTTTAGACTGACATTTATTAGACGTAACATAGACTCAGTAAAGTCATAGCCAATAGTAGAGTGGTGCTAGTGGTATTTTTAATGTCATATGAAATAATAATTTAATACTTTTTACAACTAAACAACCAATCATAGTCTAAAAGGTGGGTTACTCATGTTTCGTGTTATCTCGAGCGTTTTGATGTCCACGGTCACAAGACATGTCAAAATGACAGTACACTTAACTAATTAACAATCTATATATTAATACGTGGAGCAAAAACGTTGTATCCCTTTTTACGAAAATTGCGCGTACGGAGGAGTATGAAATTTTCCACACTTATAGAGAATATAGAGAAGAAGTGCACAATGCTAATATTTTTTTAAAATAATGCATAAAAGATACATTAAATCAATAAAGAAAACATTACACACACTACATACCATGTATTTGACGCACACACGCATGCATACTATTTATTGTCAAACTTTTGTTCTTGACGTCTATGGTCAAATTGAGAATAGATTAAAAATTGTTTATTAATATTTTTTTATAATGTAGTCTTGGCGAAATTTGTGATTATAGAAGTATAAAATACAATCATAATAGTGCACAAACTTACAATTCTAATTAATTATAGTCGAATTTCGACTACTGCGGGACCTCTAGTTTATTTATAATTTCCACTCGTGAACTTTAAAGCTTGAAAGTATCCGTGCGAACAGAATCCTAACAAAGGAGTCGTCCTTGATAGCAAAAGGAAGTGTTTCTTCAAAAATATATACAAAATAAGAGAAACAGGGAAAATTTCCTCGAATTTCCTCGAATTTCCTTGAAGGAAACGTGTCATTCAGAAAGTCAAATTGCATCAAAGGCCTATCCATCACCTTTCCCTTGTTAAGAGGTGTTGTTTAAGGTCTGAGACGATGTCCATTCGTCATCCAAATAAATTGGTTTAGGTAATTTTCTTATGCGACCTTTCCTTAGAAAAACAAGTAGAAACATTTTTGAGGGATGTTGGAAAATAAAGTTTATTTTAAACTAAAGAATCGTCTGTTTGTTTAAATCTTATACCTTTAAACGAGCAATTCTTGTATATTAATATACTAGCGACCCGCCCTCGCTTCGCTTCGGAAACATTAAAACACACATGAAACCAAAAAAAAAAAATTAAATAAAAATTAAAAAAAGTAGCCTATGTTTATCAGGGACAATGTCGGCTTCTAATGGAAAAATAATTTTTCAAATCGGTCCAGTAGTTTCGGAGCCTATTCGAAACAAACAAACAAACAAATCTTTCCTCTTTATAATATTAGTATAGATAATTATATAATCTGAATCTCGGAAACGGCTAGAACGATTTTCATAAAATTTAGTATACAAGGGATTTCGGGGGCGATAACTCGATCTAGCTACGATTTATTTTCAGGAAATGTTGTTTTATTCGTGTTTTCAATAATCAACTCTTCCCGACATCTATTGGCGAATAATAATACTATTTTTCTTAATTGAGGGAAACTAACCGCTTTAAAGATACAACAAGATGGCGTTATCATAAAAAAACGGTCATCATCTAGTGTTACTTAATACACTTTGTGATACAAATGAATTAGTTGATCTTGATTCTTCTTGATTTGATGAATGTACTTTCGAAGTAAAAATCTCATTTTTCGGTCGTCTTTAATCAAATCTACAGAAGTGACATATCGTTAAAAACAAAAAACTCTCAACCATTTTTTTATACATGCACGCTCCGGTGTATGTTTGTAAAAAATATTAACTCTATTCCCACTGTTCATAATGTCACGAAAAATTATGGGTTCGTGAAAATTTAATTAGAAGAATTTGTTTGCATTCATGCTACGACTCGATGTTGAATGTTGATTACATTGTGTTTCTGCATGATGAATATTTGATAATTCAATTGATTTGTAGTCAATTTTACTGTTTTAAAGATATATATACATACTTAATGTTACTATTATATTTTTTGATTAGATTTCTTTAAGATGCTAAACTGAAACGGTAGTCTAAAAATCAAGATTCCAATGATAAGATGTTTTATTGCTTAGATCGGTGGACGAGCTCACAGCCTACCTGGTGTTAAGTAGTTACTGGAGCCCATAGACATACACAACGTAAATGCGCCACCCACCTTGAGATATAAGTCCTAAGGTCTCAAGTATAGTTACAAAGGCTGCCCCACCCTTCAAACCGAAATGAATTACTGCTTCACGGTAGAAATAGGCAGGGTGGTGGTACCTACGCGTGCGGACTCACAAGAGGTCCTACCACCAGTAAAATGTTTGTGTAGTATTTAATACCTATATGTTTATAAACTAGTGTTTATTTTGACTCGTATCTACTATAATTCGTTAAATTATCGTCATGTATTAACTTTATCACAGCTACTTCTTGAATCTTTCACTTCATCAACGAGGGTTAACTGGAAGAGAATGCCTGCATGGCGTTGAGTTCGCCTTTATACAATACTTTTGTGCAATAAATAATTTTCAATCAATCAATCAAGACGTAAATAGTATAAGCTAAACCGTATGATCTTAGTCAACCATATGGATTTGATGTTTCCAATACACGTAATTTAAATTTAAAATAATTAAAAAACCACCATATTTGTACTGGCCGTCTTGTGGGTCCAAAATATCTCGAGATTGACGTGGTCGATGTCAATGGGCAACGGTGACCACTTAACACCCGATGGGCCGTGAGCTCGTCTATCCGTCTTAGTAGTTAAAAAAATATATATCGTAAGGATGTTCCAAGAATTTTTCGAACTCCCAAGTAATTGCAATTAAGCTAAAATCTCCATTACTGTATACGCAGAAAACATAAAATTTCATCAAATATGTGTACAATTCCATGTACAATTGTAATAACCGTATTATATTAAAAATTGCTACTAAAGAATCTGTCGTTGATTAATATAAAATAATAACTGGCAATAATTAAAAAAAAAGAGTTTCAACAGTAATAGAAGATACCCTATGGCTTTTCAATAAAATAAGTTTTGCCCTGTGTACTATGGTGTATCTATGGCTTTTCAAAAAAAGAAGTTTTGCACTGTGTACTATGTTGTAGATTGCCCTAAATTTATCGATAGTGATATATTCATACCATACGTTTGAGTCATAACGACACACAAATAAAAAATTGAAAAAAACCCATCAAAACTCACATTACAGGTAATCCTGTAATGTGATTTTTGATGGGTTTTTTTGTATAAAATTTTTAATTTGTCAATAAAGATACCTGAAAAGTCACTGGATTTGCTTTGATTAGCCTTTCAAGTCCGGTTCCTATTCACTTCAGAGTTCCGGCGTCGGTCCATATCAATAAAACAATAACTCAACAATTTGTACCGGGTAATTCATTCATTAATTTAAGGTTAATTATTGCAAATATATTTAGGTACTTAACTCTTAAAAACTAATAAAAAAACAATTCCCGAACTATTTACCTAGGAGACCTCTTATCGGTGTCCCCAAATAAAAAACTTGACTTAGGTCCATTACTTCACAGGAAAAGTAGTTTTTTACAAAAACAAACTCTAAACCACAGGTTCATTCACACAAAAACACCGAACATTAAATTTCCTCACAAATTATCTATTTTAAATCACGTACATCGAAAGTTTGAACGTAAAGCTCGTCTCAACGTACCGCCCGTGTGCTCCGCACAAAAGCTAAAGCCTTACTAAAATCTTGAAAGCGCCGCCTAAACAAACCGTTTTCACGTCAACCAGAGACTATCGCTTTGCTTGCTATACATCGATGTGCATGTTTCACTGACTCGAAGAACTTCCAAACAAAACTCATCGATGTATAGGGTCCTGAAATAAATTACCACAGTTATAGAGCGTAATTTCGTAGCATGTGCGAGATAATAACACTGATGTGTTTAACGTAATGAGGATGACTATAGTACGTAATATGAACTCGTAATTAAATTACTAAGGGAAATTAAGAAAATTAGATGTTACATACGATTTAATTACACTCAAAGGGAACATAATTCTTCTCTTCTTTTTCTCCACCTTATCCCACTAGATGGGGTCGGCACAGCTAATTTTTCTCTTCTCTCAGCCGTCATCTCAACACTCACTCCTCTCTCTCATATCGTCATTCATACACTTTATCCATGTCTTCTTTGGTCGACCTCTTCCCCCTCTACCTTGCACTACCATTTCCATACATCTCCTTGTCACATGCATCTTCTCTTTATGCATCACATGTCCATACCACGCTTACCGTCCGCTCTTTAATTTGTTGATTACCGGGGCTACTTTCACACTTTCTCTGATAGTCATAGGGGAACATAATTCGTGTTCCCCTATGTACAGCGGGAGGAAAAGTTACACTTTCTTCCCCGTACAGCGGGATAAAAACCGAACTTTCGGCGTAGGTAGGAGAAAAATAGGATTTCAGAGATCGCCTTGGACAAAATGAGTATGGAGCCGTCTGTCATATATCAGACACTTCAAAAGCTTGGTATCAGCCGTATGTTCGCATATCGTACTATCAACAGATACGACAACACCTCGTCTGTCGAAGACCAAAATAGATCGGGGCGGCCGCCTGTTGTTAGAACTACAAAGGCTATTAATGCTGTTAAAGCCAGAATTCGTCGAAACCCCATTAATAATTTTATCGCGAGAAATGAAGATTCCCGAAAGGCACAGAAATATCCTTTTTACCGATGAAAAAAATTTCACGATAGAAGAACACTACAATAAGCAAAATGATAAAGTGTACGCTCACAGATCTAAAGAAGCTGCTTAAGTTGTCGGAAAGGTACAACGTGGTCATCATCCTGCGTCAGTATTGGTTTGGTGGGGCATTTCTTATCAAGGAGTTACAAAACTACATTTTTGTGAAAAAGGAGTGAAAACTTTAACCAAAGTGTATCAAGATACAGTCCTGGATCATGTTGTGAAGCCTCTCAGTAATACACTTTTTTTAAAATATACCGTGGACTTTCCAGCAGGACTCTGCATCTGAAACCAACGTTCCGGACTTTATAAGAGCTGAAGACTGGCCTGCATCTAGCCCAGACTTCAACCCTTTAGACTTCAAATTATGGTCAGTAATAAAGAACATGGCCAGCTCTAAACGACACGGTAACATCGATTCTCTTAAAAAACCTTTGGACAAGCAGTGGCAAAATTTCCTAAAAGGCCTGTATAAAAGCCAAAGGTGGCCATTTCGAATATAATATTTTATATATATTTTTTGCTGAGACTTTAATAAATATGTAGGTATAAAATTTAATACTTTTTTTTATTGCTTAGATGGGTGGACGAGCTCACAGCCCACCTGGTGTTAAGTGGTTACTGGAACCCATAGACATCCACAACGCAAATGCGCCACCCACCTTCAGGTATAAGTTCTAAAGTCTCAAGTATAGTTACAACGGCTGCCCCACCCTTCAAACCGAAACGCATTACTGCTTCACGGCAGAAATTGGCAAGGTGGTGGTACCCACCCGTGCGGACTCACAAGAGGTCCTACCACCAGTAAATATTACATTACTTCATTAAAAGGAAATGTATTTTCATTTGTAAAAGAACTTATGCCTGGACTATATAGTTTAAATGTTACTGGCAATCTGTATAATACGGTATTCTATACAATATCTAGGCAATCTATAGAATACCTAAAACGTAATGCGGAATTTACATTACGAAATTAGAGCCATGCATGTTGAACTCAGTTTCACGAAAGTAGTTTCGATATATGAATCGTCTATTATCAAATGTGGGGCAATCTGTGCATTTGGACAAAAAAATGTTATTGATACGTCAATACAGATTGATTTGAATATAATCGTCTCCTTCAAAGAATACGGTTCAAAACCAGCATTAAATAAAAGTTAATACTTAACCTGTTATTTATCTAAGATGTCGTTCAGAAGAGTTTTGTGACTGCCAATGGAATACAAAGTCAATAATTCGTTTTTCTGATTTACCAATAATTGTCCAAAGTCACATTGCCGGCTTTGATAATAGTCGACTCATATGCGAAAGTGATTTTGTTAAAAAATTAGTGTCGCGAAATCCACAGTATCCGCAGTAACCATGGCGCCTTCAGCATCAAAGCCATATTTTGCTATATTCAATGTAGCTAAAGAAATGCTTATATACCTATGAACTTAAAAAAAGACTATCAAGAAAAAAAAGGTTACGTTGTATATTCGAGGATGGTTAACAAGAAGGCATTTAGGTGCAATGAAGTTAGTCTCTGAATTAGCAGATGAAGATCCTGAGAGCTATAAAAACTATTTTCGAATGAGTGAAGATAATTTTGATTTTTTACTGTAGGTGTTTCGGGTCCCAGAGACACCCTTGTCGCTGATATTCATTAATGAAATCTATATTTTTATCTGTACTCCATCGTTGGTTTGCCATTTTCAATGCTCGAAGCGCGCGCGAACTGAAAATACACACGTCCGCACAGCGCAGGCCCTTTCGCGACATTAGTTTCCCGTAGCGTCTACACTATGAAATTAGTTGCATGACACTAATTTCACCAAAAAATCGCGCAGGGCACGAAACTAATTTGCATGCATGAAATTAACGAATTCATTACGAAAGTATTAAATTACACGTGAAACTGTTGGTAAAACTAATGTCACGAAATTAATTTCATGCCACTAATTTCGTAATGTAAATTCGCCTTTATGGTAATGGTGATTCGGACAAACATATGTGCGACCAGCAGGTTTGTTTGCTCTTTGTGTGAGTGCCTATTATGTATACATGTATATTTAAACGTATATGTATGTCAGTCACTGGTACCCATACCACAGGGAATCGTAATTTGGGGTCGGAAGACCGTACGTGATTGGTTCCCACTCATTTATTATTATTAAAACAAACACGTCAAATTAATAAACCTGCGTAACCACTGATGTTATTGTTACTCCATACGTATGATAATCATGTTTATTTCCACCGTAAAGCAGTCACGCGTTCCGACTTGAAGAATGAGACAGCCGATATCCATAGTAATAAAATAGACGCGAGTGTGAGTTTGTTTGTTACGTTTTCACGTCTCAACTAGTCAACGGATCATCCTAACTTTTTATTTATTGCTTAGATGGGTACATGGCATCACGGCTTATCTGGTATTAAATGGTTACCGGAGCTTAGAGATATCGACAACGTCAATGCCACCACTAGCTTGAGACATGACTCTAAGTCACAATTTTTACAGTACAACGGCTGTCCCATCCTTCAAACCGAAATGTATTACTGCTTCGCGGTAGAAGCCCGGTCATCGTTTTCGTCGAAGCCGTCGCTTGTGACGAAGGGCTCGAAGAGTAACTTAACCCTCAGACACAGCCCACTGAGTTTCTCGCCGGATCTTCTCAGTGGGTCGCGTTTCCGATCCGGTCCGAGGGCCAGTGTTAGCGATACTCCGGTTTGAGCCTCGTGAGATAACCTACACCTCAAGGATAAGCTGAAGTAGCCTCTTAAGACTATCAGCATAGGTATAAAAAATATATGTGTTGTCGTGGGGCACCGGATAGTAAAGAAGTTCCTTATTATAAAAATATTAATTTTAAGTTCTATTCGAGGCATAAAGAAAATAATTATTCGGGTATACATTTTTTATTGTGATTTTTTTATTGATAAAAATAAATAAAAAACTACTTCACAAAGTTATCAACTTTATTTTATTCACAATAATTTAAAAAAATATATAATAATAATATACTAAGAAACAGCTATTTATATGAATAATAATAATAACCGTCATCACGTAGACTATACATTAGACACCGTATAGCCATCATACTAAAACTATACATCAATAATAAAAGTCTTACGTTACGGACGTTTTTTCCCGGATAAGGTACCCCTCCGTATCGTTCCATAAGGAACTTCGTTCCAAAAAAATATATCTTTAAAATAAAAATAATCTAAACTGTTTTTGAATTACATAAACTACACATTAAAATAAACCGATGAAGTTTGCTTTAAAATGGCAAAAACACCCAACCATCTATCAAAGTACAATCTTGATCCCTCTTTAAGCATCTGTACCGAATGCTTTTAGAGCCGCGAACCAGCAAATAAAGACTGGCTCTGGTGAAAGGGCAACGATTTTGGAAACTCTAACGAACTCTTCCAATTCGTACAGTAGCGTATTCGGGAATTTAGGATATCCATAATAAGTAGTAAATAACTGGGAACACATCACGCACGGTCACCCGACCCCAAATCAGGATTTCCTATGTTATGGGTATCAGACTGATGTACATAGTTATATACGTTTAAATATATATGAGTAGGCTGTTGGTTCCATGGTGTTTATAAAATAATGACGTCATCGCCACTGACGCCATTCTCTTCATCACTATAACTTCCTTCCATACTGACAGTAATTAAAACTCACTTCTCCACAGAATTCTATATAATTAAATTTCAGGTTACCACGGTAACAACAGAGAGCTCCACCTCCAGCTGTCAACACTTTAAATACGAGTGACTATTGTCGCACAACACATTCCGTCTCGAGCAACCGAACGAAGCGGAGCTCCCTGTTGTTATTCATT